CCCCCGAGCTGGAGGGCGCTCTGCAAGGCGCCAGGCGCAGCAGCCGTGGGTGCAGCGCTGTCTCCTGCGCCGTTGCCAAACAAAGGCTGCGGCGGACTCAGGACGCGCGGAGGGCGCTGGAGGGAGGCTGGGGGAGGGGACATGGAAGGGGGATTTTTAGAGCAGTGTTGGGGAAGGGGGCCGTGGGAAAGGCGGGGGTTGGGTGGAGAAGATGCTCGCAGGAGCGCTCTCACGTGTCCATGCTCTGCTGCCGGCTGGGGGGCGGGGCGCGCGGAGGGGGCCGGAGCGCCAGACACCTGTTGGGGCTGAGATGCGTCTCCCAGACGCTGGGAGCCGGGTTTGGCGGTGGCAGCGACTGGCGGGGACGCAGCCAAGCGCTCTTTAAGCTAGGAGAAAGGATGTCTGGGCTTTTAAGCTGAGGAGGGAGGCTGACTAACAGCCAAGGCCAGGGCTGGGGTCCAGCCTGGTGGAGGGTGGGGAAGAAATGCTCTTCCTTCTTCTTTTTGGAGGCTGAGAGAGCCAAGCGGAAGCCCGAGTCTGGGTTCAGAGGTGCCATGCCTGGATCCTCCCTCCTGCCCACAAGTCCAGGGGACAACAGTGGAGCTAGGGGCCCTGTGGGGACTGAAAGCTAGCTGCCACACTGAGATGGTGCCCAGTGGGGGATGGCAACATAAGAATAGCTGTTCCCAGACAAGCGTCTGCCCTGTCATCGTCTTCCCCCTCCTGCCAGGGCCCTGTGTCACTCTGGTGGGTCTGACCCAAGGCCCTGTCCACCACACTCCATTCTCCCACAGGTGCCTTCTGCATCCCGCTGTATGTGCCCTATGTGCTGACTGGCCGTTGGAGCTTCGGCCGAGGCCTTTGCAAGCTGTGGCTGGTGGTCGATTACCTGCTGTGCACCTCCTCAGTCTTCAACATCGTGCTCATCAGCTATGACCGCTTCTTGTCAGTCACCAGAGCTGTGAGTCCTGTGACATGGGGGGGCAGCAAGTGATGGCCTCAGGGAGTCCTGAGCAGGTGGGCACGTGGAGGTGGGTGTGCGGTGCCTGGTGGGCAGGCCCCCACTGGACTTGTGGTCACTGTTTGGCCAGGTGCCCATTCCGTCGCCATTTGCTGCCAGTAGGACTGGTCCTGGCACAGGCAGGAAGCAGGGAGTCTGATCTGGAATCATATATTCCTGCAGGAAAAGGTGTCACTGCCCAGCCTCTGCCCCAGGGCAGGTCCAGAGTGTCTGGAGGTGAGGGAGATCTGTTCCCTCTCACATGTGGGCACACATGAGTGTGCACTCACGTGGCCCCAGGAAGTCAGGCTGCGGCTCCATGCGCACAGACCCCCGGTGTCAGTGGGGCCACACAGGCGCCAAGCAGGGCGGGGCCCTGGCCGTCTCTTTTATCTCCTCATCTTCTTGATGGCTCACCGCCCCCAGGTCTTAGCAGGTACCCCTTGCTGGAGGACCACACTTCTTTCAAGTCTAAAAAGCTGAGGGACAAATGCAAAGAGTGCAAGCCTGGGTCCTCTTGACCACCACTTGTGGTCCTTCTCTCCAGTCACCAAGGAAGTGGGGCAGCAGGAGTTAAGTGGAGTGACGTCCAGAGCCTGCATGATAGTCACCCCGCGTGCCGCAGACCTGGGTATAGCATGAGCTCTGCTCACCCTCCTGTTCCCACCAGGATAAGGGGGCTGTCAGGTCACTTCCCCCTGGGCTGTGCCTTAGGGCCCTTCAGCAGGACCCTTGGCTCTCCTGTCACCCTTCCCCCTGCTGGCTAGCTGCTTTCTGCACTAGGAGTCTTGGGGAGGGCTTGCTGGCTCCGCCCTCTCTACTCCTCCTTCCAGGGATTCCTGGAATGGGGATCAGGGAGGTTTGGTGTCTCCCAGCAGTGGGCCAGCATGTGGCTTCATTCCTGTATCTCCAGCTCCCAGGGGGTAAGCACTTGAGCAGGGGCCAGGCTGGGACCACCCCCTTTGGCACAGTCAGTCTCTGAAGATGGCTCAGGCCTCCTCAAGATGTTTCACATCAGAAACAGGGTGGCCCCAGGTGCTGGCCTATGCGAAGTCTGCTGCTGGGGATACACTGAAACACCAGGCCAATGACAGGACACCAGGGGGGTACACGGCTGATGCAGGGGGACAGTAAAGGAGCAGGACTCTGTGGACTGCAGGAGACACTGAGACAGGGCACCAGCCAGCCAGGGGTGTTGGTGGGCATGGGGGTGGAGGGAAGGGAGGAGAAGAGGAACATTGCAGCTAGCAAGGGAATGTGCAGAGGCCAAAGCTGGCCTGGGTTTAGTCCCTCCCGACCACGTGCCCCTCTGCAGGTCTCATACCGGGCCCAGCAGGGCGACACCCGGCGGGCAGTGCGGAAGATGGCACTGGTGTGGGTGCTGGCCTTTCTGCTGTATGGGCCGGCCATCTTGAGCTGGGAGTACCTATCTGGTGGCAGCTCCATCCCTGAGGGCCACTGCTATGCTGAGTTCTTCTACAACTGGTACTTCCTTATCACGGCCTCCACTCTCGAGTTCTTCACGCCCTTCCTCAGCGTCACTTTCTTCAACCTCAGCATCTACCTGAACATCCAGAGGCGCACCCGCCTCCGGCTGGATGGTACCCGAGAAGCAGGCCCCGAGCCCCCACCTGAGGCTCAGTCCTCACCACCTCCCCCACCGCCTGGCTGTTGGGGCTGCTGGCCCAAGGGGCATGGGGAGGCCGTGCCCCTGCACAGGTATGGGGTGGGCGAGGCTGGCCCTGGTGGAGAGGCTGGGGAGGCCACCCTTGGAGGAGGCAGTGGTGGTGCTGCAGCCTCCCCCACCTCCAGCTCTGGCAGCTCCTCGAGGGGCAATGAGAGACCACGCTCACTCAAGAGGGGCTCTAAGCCCTCTGCGTCCTCAGCATCTCTGGAGAAGCGCATGAAGATGGTGTCCCAGAGCATCACCCAGCGCTTCCGGCTGTCACGGGACAAGAAGGTAGCCAAATCCTTGGCCATCATAGTGAGCATCTTCGGGCTCTGCTGGGCCCCATACACACTTCTGATGATCATCCGAGCCGCCTGCCATGGCCACTGCATCCCTGACTACTGGTACGAGACTTCCTTCTGGCTCCTGTGGGCCAACTCGGCTGTGAACCCTGTGCTGTACCCGCTGTGCCACTACAGCTTCCGCCGAGCCTTCACCAAGCTGCTCTGTCCCCAGAAGCTCAAGGTGCAGCCTCACGGCTCCCTGGAGCAGTGCTGGAAGTGAGCCAGCCCACCTGGGCCCCCAGCCGCTCCCCGCGCAGACTCTGTCTCCTGGGCAGCTGGGCCACACATACCTGCCTGGCTCACTCCCAAGGATGAGCCACGGCCTGCGGCCCACCCTAAACACCATGGCAGCCTCTTTTAGACTGTCTGCCCTGGGGGAAAGCTGGTGGGCTGGTCAGGGGCCCTCAAGGGCTGAACTGCCACCTCCTTTTGCTTCACTCCAGGAAGGTTCCAGACTTGCTGTTCAACCCCACCGACAGTGCAGTGCCTGTGGTGTCCACCATTTGCACACTTGGTAGTTACTGGGTGTGTGCTCCAGCCCCCTGCCAGCAGTGTGCCCCTGCACGTGCGCACGCCTGCACTCACCTGCACACACCTGCACACCTGCACTCCTCCCAGGCACGCTGGGCCTGCCTTGACCGCTGTCTGTCTCACTCAAGCCCAGAGCCTGGCCCCTTTAGCCTTTCCTCCCAGATCCCTGCCCACCACGTGTCAGGTGCCCCAGGAACCTCGAAGCCGTTCTCTACTTTTTCTTTCTGGGTGTTTTCAGGAAGATGAAGAAAACACGTCTGTGAACTTGATGTTCCTTGGATGTTTAATCAAGAGAGACAAAATTGCCGAGGAGCTCAGGGCTGGATTGGCAGGTGTGGGCTCCCACGCCCTCCTCCCTCTGCTGCAGCTTCCGGCTGAGCTGCGCCAGCTGCTTCTGCCCGCCCCGCCCCTGGGCTCGGGAGCTGGTCGGACCGCTGGCTCTGAGAGTGGTCAGAGTCCTTGTGCCTGCTGGGTGGGCCAGAGCCTGCCCCGCCACCCCATCTACTCAACCAGAATGTCTTGGGGACTGTTGGGTAGGGGGTCCCAAGGCTGGCAGGCCTAGTCAGAGAAGGCCAGGGCCAGGATGCCCAGGGAGGGGCCGCCTTGCCACATCCTGTGCACCTGCTTTAGGTGCTCTGCATGCTCCGCTCACTCTCTGTGTGCCCACTGCACTGCCCTTGCCACCGTGAAGTCACAATAAAGCGTATTTTTTTATTGGTGCTGATTCCTGAGGACTTTGTGGAGTGGTCAGAGTCCGTGAACTCCAATCAGAGGCTCCAGGAAGACCCCCCCCAAAGGACATAGACACAGACCTAGGCATTCTGGATGAAGGACTTGGTAGGAGGAAATAGGTCTGCCACTTCCAGTTTAATGCCCCTGTGGAAGAAGAGGCCCAGCCATGCATGTGTGTGGGAGGGTGGCTGGGAGGGGGTCACACCAGTCTTGAGGATGCAGACCTGTGCTCCCACCCTGACAGAGCATCCCGCCCCCAGGACAGGGGTGCTTGGCCTTCTTTGCGGCTGGGTGTCCTCACAGCCATGACCTTCCCTTAGGGAGCAGGGCAGCGAGACCTAGGACACAGGGCCATGCCTGTGCACTGAGTTAGGGTCGGGGAGGGCCCTGGGCATGCCCTTGTGCTGGGTTGGGGTAAAGGGATGGGCACAGTGGCCATGAAAGTCTCCTGGGGACATGGGGACATGGGGGCTAGAGCTGAGTTGCTGGGGCTGCCCTGAGGGGATGAGCCAGGGGAGGGGATAAGAAGCTTCTTTGGTAGAGGCACTGTCCTGGGCAAAGGCCTGGAGGTGGCGGGGTAGTGAGGTGTGTGGGTGGAGCAAGGGTGGTCTCCTCCTTGGGGAGCAAATGACCTAAAGGGCTGCCCTCCCCTAGGAACCCAGAGGCCATTTGGAAAGCAGGAGAGCTGGGGCCCTGGCTCTCACCTGTCCTGCTGCCTTGCTCTGCAGGGTTCACCTCTCCTTCCCTGGGCAGGAGTGAACCCAGCATCTCACAAAAGCTGCCTCTGGACCAGGCACCATGCAGTCCAGATGTGTGAGTGCACTCCATGCAGTGCCAGGCTCCACAGCAGCTCAGTCTCAGCACTGCAGAAGGGACCCAGCCTCCAGCAGCTCCCTCCCCAGACACCCCCTACCCACCTTCTACACCCACACTTTGTTTTCCAAACTCTCTAGAAACCTCCTGCCACACCCCTTTCTAAGCCTGGGACCTGCCCTCTCCAACACCCTTTTCCTGCTTCAGAATTTTAATCCTGCCAATCTCTGATTCAGGCAGGACCCTCCTCTTGGGCAAAAGCATTACAGGCTCTTCTTAGTGACCAGAGGGAGGGTGACCCGGGATGCTGGCCTTCATTCACTGTGCTTGTCTAGGCCTGCACCTCCTGCCCCACGCTTCCTGGCTGGGTGCTGTTCTGAGAGCCAAGAGCACTGAGCACTGAGGCCACCTTCAGCATCAGGCAGCCCGCCCCGCCTCCTGGAGGCCCTGCACCTCCCCAGCAGGCTAGCCATTGGCCTCCAAACCCCTGCACCACCTGGCCTGCCCCCCAGCAGGTGTCTGTCCAGAGGCCTAAAGCTGTCTGAGAAAGGACAAAGGACTGTGATCTGCTGCTGTGGGTGCTTCCTTGCGACAGCACAGCCAGAGCCTGGCCGCCCCTCCGCCCGGCCCTGCTAAATGGCTACAAATTGGAGGATAAAAGCACAGGCTTTCAAGCAATTTTGCCTTCAATCTCTGGAAACTGCCGCTCCTGGAGCTCCTGTGCAGGGACGGAGGAGGAGAGAAGAAAGGCACCGAGCCTATTGGGCCCTCTGCAGAAACAAACACGCCCGGGGCCTTCTTCTGCAATCTGAGCCCTGGAGGAAACAAAGCCCTGGGCCCAGGGCCCAGCAGCACAGCTGTTGTTTACTGAGCACCTACTGTGTACCAGGCATAGAGTGGGAGCAACATAGATGTATTCCCTGAGCTGTGGGGAGGTGACAGATGACTTAAGGGGCAAGGTGTGCCACAAGACAGGTAGCTGCCATGGGCACATGAGGTCAGCTTGGTTGCCTACCAGTAGCCACTAGGAGCCACCTAGAGCAGGAGGCAGGATCACAGTCTGGCTGGGCAAGCCCCCCAAAAGAAAGCTTAGGGACATCAGGGACCAGCCAGGTGGGTGTTGCCATGGTTCCTGCCCTGCACTGGCTCTGAAGGTGCCCCCTGGGGACAGGTTCTGGGCACATGCTGTGTGGGGGTCCTTCTCTGCCTGGCATGAAGACCCTGAGCTCTCAAGGTGCTCACCAGGCAGTCCACTGTCCTCCTTATGCAAAAGGCCAAGGTACTGCAGGGCCAGGAGGGATGGCTGGGTCTCCCTGGCAAGGCTTCCAGAGCCCTGAGATGCCAGAGTCATAAGGCTACTGGTTATCACCTCTCTGCACCCCAGTGCACCCCAGCACTCATGTGAGGAACATTCCACCAATAATTATTGGTGCATCTCTGCAGCCCAGAGGGCAATGTGTTCTCCTCTCTGCCTAGGAGAAAGCCAACGGGCACAGGGGACTTGGCCCACGTCGGCAGGGAGGTGGCATCTGGAGCCAAGCCTGACACTAAAGCCCACACATTTTCCATTTCCCCACCTTCTCCCTAAGAACCTGCTGTGTGCGGGGCACTGCAGGAGAGTGGAGTATGAAATAATCCCCATAGGGCCACATCCTCCTGAGAGACAGGATCTAGGCCTCTATTCCCTGCATGCATGGTGGCAAGCAGTGGTGTCCCCAGGAGGGGACAGGATGGGGCACCCAGGGAGAACTCTAAACCTCAGAATTGAGCCCTAGCTCTGTTGCTCCTAACATGAAACATTGGGTGCTCACTGTATGTCTCCTTTGTGCACAGGAAGGAGCTGAGAAAGCAGCTGACCTCCATCAGCCCCTCTTGGGCCAGGACTATGGGGGAGGACAAAAGAGGGGCAGTAGAGTAGCTGTAGAGCTTCAGATCCCAACATCTAATTGCCCAGGTTGCAAGAGGTGTGTGCTTTGAAGGGAAACTGAGGCTTCATCCCAGCCCAGCCCCAGGTCTGCCTAGAGGTCAGAAGTGAAATGCAGGGCTGGGGATGTGGCTCAAGCGGTAGCACGCTCACCTGGCACGCGTGCGGCCCAGGTTCGATCCTCAGCACCACATACCAACAAAGATGTTGTGTCTGCCGAAAACTAAAAAATAAATATTAAAAATTAAAAAAAAAAAGAAGTGAAATGCAGGCTGAAGGGGACACCAGCCCTTTCACACCTCATCCCCACAGGGTTCCAAGGCCAGTTAGGGGCAGGGGTTGCTGGAACAGATGCTGCTGCTGCTGCTTCTTTCAAAGTTTTTTCCTTCCTTCCTTCCTCAGCTTCTTCCTCCTTTGAAGGGCTCAGCCATGCCCAAGACAGCAGCCAGGTGCCTGGCACGACTCTCTTGTCTGGAGTGGCTCAGCAGACCCCTTGTCCTGCGTGCAGGCAGCAGCTCATTAATGAAACTGCCTCCAGGGACAGGGGACAGTGCTGTGCTAACTTGTCATAGGTGCCTGGGTCCCACCTGCCAGCCTGTGGACTACAAAGGGCTGGGGGCTGAAGATAGCCCCTGCTGCCCTGGACCTGGAGGGGTCACCTTCCCCACATGCTTCTCTCTTCCTTCCCCAATGTGCGAGTGGACATGGCATCTGGACGGGAAGTTTGATCAGGGACCAGATAGCCCTTCCCTCCCTGAGACCTGGTGAGGGCAGGGGGACGTTTTCTTGCTCTGAATGTCCAGGCCTTATGGCTTATCCAGTGGCCAGTGCTGAGGTGGGAACATCCAAAGGTTGGGGATCTTAGAGGAGAAGTCAGGGTCAAGGGTCAGGGCCAAGCTCCAGAGGTTCCTAAGTTTCTTTTAGAGGACAGACAGAGAGCAGGGAAGGGGCAGAGTTGAGGCTGGGGATTCCCTCCCTGGGGCCCACCTGGGAAGGGCCTGGCATGAGGTTCACTATAATAACATCAAGGGCAGTGCTGTGCTGTAACATTGCGTCCTGGGCACTGTTCTGAGCCCTTTCCTTCAACTCATCTAGCCCTTGAGCAGGTCAAGTTTATAGATGCGGAAACTGAGGCACAGAAAGGGTCAGTGACCTGCTCACATCACAGAGCTAACGAGAGAGGCTAATCTAGGGCTGCTTTCCTCCTGGAACCCTTAGCTCTCTGGGCCACCTTCTTGTCCTCTTCCAGGAACAGGACGCTGGGCACCTTTCTGGGAGAAGCACTTTTCTTTGGGGAACCATGCCTTCCTCACTCCAGCAGTGCCACCCAACCCTGGGCTTAGGATGAGTGGGGGTCCCAGGCACGGCCAGTCAGAATCACCAGGATGGCCTAAGGTGGCCCACAGCCACAGCCTGGTAAGCCAGAAGCAATGCTGGTACTTTGGCCGGAGCCTTGGAAGGATGGGCCTTCTCCAAATGCCGTTGCTGGCCTGGCAGCCTCCAAGGCTGAGGTCACCTGAGCCGGGTAGCCAGTGCGGAGACAAGCCAAGCTGAGAGGTGGAAGGAGAGCCTCCTGAGGCCATCGCCTGAGCACCTGGATGCAGCTTTGCCTAAAGTGAGGCCTAGTGCTTCAGGTTTCACAAGTCATCCACACGCTTTCCTTCCTAAAGCCATCATGATGAGAAAGATCCTGCTCAGCAAGACACAGCCCAGGTGGCATCCTGACCATGATGCATCGGTTCTTTGATGAATAAAAATGTGGAGTTAAGTATTCAGTGGCTCAAATTTAACTGTGTGCAACTGGCAGGAAAACATTTTCCAACACAGCAGGCTATAGAAGCTGAGAGGTGACATCCTACCTGTCAACAGGCTGCCACAAGGGTGTCGGACCAGTAAGCAGGTGCCCTGAGAGCACCTGGTCCCTTCCCTCCTGCGAGGTCTCTTGCTGGAATGCCAGACACAGACCCCAAAGAGGCATGCAAATGCCCTTCAAAGGAGCAAGAGAGGGGGAGGTGGGGAAGATGGAGCTTCTGACCGTGAGACGACGGGGTGGTCCGCCCCTCTGAGCCACTGGTCCGCCATGCTCAGACAGCACACACTTGACAGCCTCCACAGGTCTCTGCTGTCCATGCTGGGTCTCTTTAAAGACCCCAGTAGACCCGGTTCCAAGCTGGGGTCAGAGTGGGGCAGCTCTGCAGTGGGAAGCCTGCCTGCAGCCCTCCCTCCTGGGCTCCTGGCCATCGTGATCTGAGGAT